TGAACTATTCTTTCATCGACCAAGTCTTAAGTCAAAAATGTGTTACGTAATGATATGGTGAACTTAAAAGACTAGGTATATTTGTTTTTTGTATATCTGATCTAAGAATTTAACTAACAACACTTGCAAAATAAATTCAAACGTACCCCATTCATTTCGGACCAAACCAAAACATGGCAGAAATCCATGAAGTCACTGACTAGTGGACTAGTCATGTTCGTAGATGTCGACTACCTGGTTGGGGTCCGCGAGACGAAAGTCACCAATGGTTAGAGACGTTGAATGACATGGCTCAAAATCGTTTGCAATGGCGCAAGTGCATCCATTCGTTGAGCTCTCTCAAATCCTAATCTTATGGATTCATCAGCACCTCTACACTTGTCTTTCTAAAGTTAAATCCTTGAATTATACTTCTCGAATTCTATCTTGGAACCCTAATCTTCTCTATTACTGCTAATACTTCTACTATCTCTACCACTATGGGATTTGAACTGGCAGTTGCGTCTCTGTGCTAATGTGGTATTTACTCATGTACGAAGTTCAACGTTGTAACTGACTGACTGACCATTCATTTCGACATTCATAATCAGATATAATATTGTAAACTCTTAAATGGAATAGGTGTATTAATTTCGTTAATAAATATCAATGAGATACATTGTTGTTTTGAATAACACACATTCAAGGTGTCAACATCCAGATTGTATAATTTCCTTTTTTTAGTTTAATTACAGTTACATTTAGTTTATTGTTAACTTTTTCTCACATTTATTTCTATTTTGTGTTTTTCTATTCATAGGGTTATTTATTACGTTTAAAGAAAAATCAAAATGTGACCTCAGAGTTCCTAGATGTTGTCTTTCATAAAATTCCAGATTTACGAGTTTTTCATGCGTAAGTTTATCCAAGTTGTTTTACTGTTATTTTGTCCTCTCAATATGTGTTCATTTTTCAATATTCTATTTCTAAGCTGTCTTCTCTAAAAATTCATATTATCATTAAATTGTGTTTATAAAGTTTATCAAATATGCAAGTGTTACACTCGTCTCTAGGTATGCTTAAACTATTACGGGTTCACCTTAGTCGAATAACGAGAATAAAACTATGAACCAGCGTCCAGGTAGGCTACTATGATCCCTTGACCCAAATGTACTAGCAAGAAGTCTTGACATAGCGTGTGAAGTATATTCTACAAACACCCATCCAGTACACAGTGAATCCAAGCATACAAATCGCGTTTATTTATACACCATAGAGACGTCCTTGGAAAAGTCACGAAATAGCACACTAAAATAATACAGTAACCAATCACGGCCAAGGATTCTCCTGATGGGAAATGTTATCTCAAGGTTAACTGATCAGCCCATGAATAAAATAGAAAATAAAGATATTTATCAAGTGATTTCTGGGGATCTAACATCCCTAACAGCAAGACATGAGAAGCCATTACATTAGCTTTCATTGATGACTCTTATTATGCAGTGAAAAAATATGTTAGAATAGTTGAACTTATTGAACACTTTCATAAATGATTATGAATGGCAGTTACTGACTGTTGAGAAGCTTTTTTATACATTTATTTTCCATATTTAAAGGTTGTCAGTCAACTAACTACAACCTAGAACTGCGTACGTACGTACATCAGTGGAAGTTGCTATACCACTTTAGCACACATAGATCGAATTGTCAATTCAAATTCCATAGTAGTAGAGGTAGTTGAAGTATGATCAGTAATCAGTAACCACAAAACATTGCTCGTCGAGGCAGTCGGTGGTTCGGCATTCGTAACACGTCCCAACAGCCTTAACTGGTGGAGATTTACTATTTCATCAATTGATTTGCCATTCCTAACTAATACCCTTTTCCTAACACTAGCATTGCTTACTCAGTGGCTTCAGGATATACGAGCAATGTTTCTGAGACACCTATGATCGAAGACAAGCAACCTACTAATATCCTCTACTCCTACCGGCCATAAAATAGGATGGAGCGAACTGCTGCTCAGTAAACCCGTCCTTTGGTTGTTAGAAGGATATCTCTCCTACGCCATTAGTGATGCAATTCGGCAGACGACAATCGAGCTTTTTGTATCCGTGCTGAAATTTCAGCAGATACCAGGCCATCAGATAAGTCTCTGAAGATAAGTGTAGTTGTCAGCACGCTCAAGTTACATGGATATTGAATAGAAACTTGTTGAAATACTGCATATTTTGCACTCTTACTTACACCCGTTTACCCTAATAAAACATGGGCGGCCGACCAGCATTTTCTAACCAAATCTGCCCTGAGACTTCCTATCCAATTCCTTCCAAATGCTTTTCATTCTTTTCATTGTCTATCTCTAATTCTCAGTGTAACGTGTTCTTTGGTTTTCCTATTTTTTCTTATCCTTGAGGATTCTTAGTTTGGACTTGTCTTGGAGCGTAGTTGGGTGCTTCCCCCCACCTCCAGTACATTTTCCTGATTACTTCCTCAACATATTTTGCACTCTGATTTCCTTATAGTGATCAAACATTGGCTATTGAATAAATGGATTATTATTATTATCGTTATTATCAATATCTCAAATACTCATATAAACTGATTTGTGAAATATTTCATACAGTGTTGATATCTTTCATGTCTAACTAAAGTTAATCTTTATTTACAAGTTTTCTAAGTTAAGTAAATAGTGCATGTATGTATATGTGTTGTTTTAAGGATACAACTACTACACACACATCTGTCAATGCAATCCGATTTAAACATGAATTATCTACCAAAATCAAAATAATTTATATATGATTGATGAACCCAGTATATTTTATTTCTGAGTTGTATGTGTTTTTTTTCTCTCGATTATAAATTAATAGTATTTTATTTATGTGTTTTTGATTTTGTAGACAACTTCATTCTGATCTTTATTTGAATCGTGAGAATTTTATTCAACTTGGACAAGTATTTCTAGTCAATGCAAAACATTTTGAAGAGCTCTATGTTGATTTCTGTCTTAATTATCCAAAGTAATTATTTTCTGACAGTTTTTTATAAATTATTATTGTTTTGAAATGTTTCTGTTATTACTATCATTATGTATTATATTTTCAATATTAATCTAGTAGTTTCATTGAACCAATTATACAAACATTTATGTAGATTTTAATGTTACCCATTTATTAATTAGAAGTTTTATGTTCAAATAGATGAGGACAAAGTTCAAACGTATGTATTAGCGCTTGAGGGCTAAGTGCTCTAATATTTGAGCAATTGCTTCATTATTTCAACAAACTTATTGAATACCTATTGTAATAGCTCACTATGCTATGCATGGAGCCGTTTTCTTCAAAGTTATGTTCCGAAGGCGATTTGTAGTATATTTTACTCACTTTTGTAAACTAAAGATAGACTAAACAAAAAGATTTTCGTAGTTTAAGTAAATCTAACTATTTGGTCCATTCAGACTAAACACTATGTTTCTAATGTGCTGAAAAATGACATAAAGCAAATGTTAAATTGCCATGTCAAAACAATAAGTCAGTCAGTCAGTTACAACGTAGAACTTCGTACGTGCTTACATCAGTTCAGGTTGCCATACCACATTAGCACAGAGACGCAACTGTCAGTTCAAATCCCATAGTGGTAGAGATAGTAGAAGTATTACTGGTAATGGAGAAGATTAGGGTTCGAAGATATTATTCAAGAAGTATAATTCAGTGAGATAACTTTAGAAAGAGAAAGATAGAGGTGATGAGAAATTCAGAAGATTAGAATTTGAGAGAACACAAAGAGTGGATGCACCTGCACCATTGCGAACGGTTTTGAGCCAGGTCTCTAACCGTCGTTGACTTTCGTTTCGCGGATCACAACCAGGTAGTCTATATCTACCCACATGTCTCAGTCCACTTGTCAGTGATTTCATAGACTTCTGCCACGTTTTCATCTGGCCGCCCCTAGCTTTCTTCCAACCTACTCAAAACAATAAAGTGATAAGAGTTTAGTATAGAGATGAGATTAGAATAACAGTGACTAATTTTTAGCTAGTTCTTATTCATTTAGATAGCAGCTATTTAAAATGAGCATAGTTTGTAGCAAAGAAAATAATAATATTATCAAGTTAAAAAAGATTTATTCTGCCTGTAAATCGAAAAAAAACGCGAAAAAAAATTCTCCCATATGAATATAGATTATTCGTATCCTTAAGCCCTTATAAGGTCGCATGTAGATTTTTTTAACTTGCCATATTGTTCTTGTATGAGGTTATGAATTATTGGATAGGATTAGAAGATTACACTTAGAGTTTTCCTCATGAATTGATATCAATTATGGTGTTAAACTACTATGTAACCGTATAGATGAATAAATCTCATTTAAAAATCCAATAGGAGCTATCTGATTAGTATTTTTTTTTCATAAAACATAATAACCCTAGGTTGATGTTTTGCCTTACGATTATGAATTTAAGATAAAGATTTGAGAATAGTGTCAATTTTCTTGTGATATACCATCTTCAAAGAAAACACCTAACATTTGATAATATAACTTTTATCCTACAGTAAGTAGCATTAGGTGAAAATGTTTCTACCACATAGTTTTACGTGATATTTGAATTTTACGTGCAAACTTAAAAATCACGTCCTCGATTATGACTGTCTCTTCCATATATTGTACTTTTATTTACCTCCAAAGCGTTTTGATGAGGAGTACCTGTGTAGTGAAGGAGAACACAGGTGAGGGCAACCGAATTGTATTTAACGAAAATTATAGAGTTACTCAGTAAAATAGGAAAACCATATCGTAAACGGTTAATTTGCAAAACATCAATCCATTGTCTGACATTTCACTGTTCATGCGTTTCATACAAATTCCATTGTGTTCCCACTCTTCCTTTTTTGATCTTCCCCCATCTTCTGCTGCCAGACATTACGTTGACACTCACGTCATATACTACTTATAAGTAGCGCGCACCACACCTGTAGTGGCTATCTGTAACATAACTAGTGTTTTTATTTCTCATTTCATTGAAATCTTCAATTTCAGTGACTACAGTTTTTTACTTATGGTGAACTCCTTACTTGATGTTTTGTTTTCCTTTATGGTACCGTCTAAATTTCTGTTAACTTATATTGCGTGTACATCATTTTATCGATCTCCTTTATTTTAAGGAATAAGAAAGTAACCGAAATCTTAAAGTAGTTTTTGTATACTTTGTACAACCATTCCTGTCAATTTTCTTTTATCATCTATTATGGTAATCTTTTCATCTGTTGTTTACTAGTTGATTTAAATTATAATCACCTGCTTAAGCTGAGAAATCAATTGACTCCTTCATTTTCCGCATAGAAACAACAAAACATGCCATGGTGAATAATTTGCATCAATCCACCCCTCCTTATACTGTATGCTTTCTGCAATAGTTGGTTATAGCTGTTTATTTTTTTGGGAATTCTACAGTTTAGTGAGTTTTTTCTGTTACACTGACCCTGGTTTTCTTTTATCACTGTGGGTGTTCTTGTTCAGCAAAATTTATTATTTAAGTGTGCGTATATTTAGACATATATAGTCAATGTCCCGGTTTCGTTATCTGAACTTTGTCTAAATTTCTTTACATGATAAAGAATATTTTCGTATAAAAAAATGTTCCATTTATTAGTTTTAGTAATCGGATTGCATTTTTCGTTAGTTAGAATCATTTTTCAGTCAAAATTATTTGTCTCAATGATTTCCTATGTTTTTATATAAATATTGAATTTAACAAAATAGAAATCAATTTCTTCGGTAATCTATTATTAATTCGATGGAATCATTTTTGTTAAAATAGATACTCTTTACAGATTATTTGTAGCCAATAGCTAGAAGATTGATTGGAGATTAGTTAGTAATCATTAGTATTTTTTGCGAATTTTCGTTGTTGTCAGTTGTGTCTGTTTATTTTCCACTTCCTCTCTCCTCTTATTAATACAAACGAAAATTTATCGACTAACTGCCAACCAAACTCTCTCAGCATGAACGTACGTGTATTTGTCAAATTTCAATCCTCTGGATTCAGATAAGCTTAACTTTTTTTGTCTACTCTTTATTGATCGGCTTTTTAGTGTACAAGGTCATTTACTACATTCTGATTGGTTAGAATTTTTTTATAAAATTTTTATTGGTTATTTTCTGTCGGTGACGCTTGGAGTGCAGTTTGTTTTTCTATCGTCAACCACATGGCTAAACGGATGAGCATAATGAGAGAGTGGTAAACCATAGACAGCAACATTTTCACTTTGGTTGAGTGAAACTGGAAAAAATCGTAGTAACTGTAGTACAATCAGGCGCTACAGTTTTGTCTATAATTATTGTATTACAATAGTCAAAATAAGTCATACATGACTGATAATATTCAGTGTTAAAATAAGAAACATATCTGTCTGTTTAAATTAAAGAATACGTTATGAACCAACGGTAATTCAGATAAATTCGTCGAAAGACATTTGTCAGAACACAATAGGGCAAACGTCGATACAGTATGTTCAACCCGTATGCGTACAATAACTTCACGAGTGGTGAATCACTGAATCCGTAAACTTAATGTTTTTAAGTATTACTATCCTGTAAAATCCTCCCTTGTTTTTGTGTTCATCTTTACCGTGTCCTGTTTTTAATTTACATATTGATCTTGCAGTTTATATAAACTTCTTGTCATAATCACTCTGATAACTTCGTATTATTAATACCATTATTATTGTTATTATTATTATTTCAACACAAAGAAGCACCAAAATACATTATACACCACATCAGTCATTGAATTTGTGTGCGCTCAGAGATACTTTCTCGGTGGTCTTCTGAGACGGCCACTCCATTGTATATTTCCCTACTTCAGTCAACTTAATTCTAAGAATACCTCTAGTGGAAATCTCATCATTATTTATTAAGTAATCCAGTTACTTTATTCGTGACTATCACATCTATGCTTAGTTAAGAAATCATACTCGCTTGCTTTTTTATAGAGTAAATTTACTTGAGGCATAAAACAGTTATGTATGAAATGCTTTAAAAGCGACAGCTATTTTCTATGGATAGCGGTGTTCACATCTTTTGAAAGTCATAGTTGTCTCTGAAGTTTTATATAATTCCACTGAATCTCATTAACACTTTAGTCTAATACAGCATTTCATTTAAGCTTGAAGTGTTTTTCAAAATGGGTTCATTTTCATAACTGTTCAGAGTCAGTAATTCTCCATTAGCTGTCATATTTTGTTCCGGGATACTTCAACAGTCATGTGAAATCTAGGTGTTATATTCCACCATTTTTCCTGAGTATTCAGCCACGAATACTCATCCAATTTTGAAATGATTAGTACCGATATTACTGTTTATTGGTTCTAAATAATGAACGATTAGTGGATTGGTGTCCACTTTTAAATAAAGTGATGTACTATATTCGTTAACAAAAATTTTTAATTGAATTTTGTTGAGATCTGTTCCAAAATATGTCAGAAACGTAAAACACATGAAAATTATTTCATATACATGCTCATATATTTATTTCTTAAGAAGTTTAATGAAACATTGATGACAGCTATACATTGTTTGTACAACATATTTCCTCTTTTCTTCTAAATACTTAGAACTGTTCGTCTGCTTGAAGAAGCACAAAAATCACGTACAGATACTTGGATATGTCTTAACAATTGTCAATTAGAACTACAACACCAACTTCCTCTTGCTACATATCTTCTTAAACCAGTACAACGTATACTCAAGTATCAGTTACTTTTGCAGGTAATATAGTGTGTATTAAAGCAACATAAATTTTATATATTTGTTATACTACTAAGTGGTCATTTGTTTACATATTTTTTAAAGTATTAAATTCTTAAAATAGTAAAATACATTTTAGATCATTGATTTACCCATCCAAATAGAAACTTCTGAATCATGAAGTATGTTGTTCCATGAAATAATTATGTAAACATTTAATCAGTTCAATTTTCAATAAATTTACTTGATATAAAGACAATGAACTCTAGAGTTTATCTATGTATCTAATATGTTCAGTTCTCCTGAATGAATAACTGTTTGCGAGTCAGTCATCAGTAACTTATACCATAATGTATTTCATATTACCGAGACATAAATAAATCAGATATAAGCATTATTGTTCTACAATTTTTGCCATTTGTTAGAAAACTTTGAAAAGTCACAGTTATCCCTCATCACAGATACTGAGACTCGTGGAAAAATTATGTTACTTCGAAAATTAGAATAAGAATATCTTGATTACAAGACATTCTTATCCAGTAATTATGCAAAAGTATTGTTTTCGAGATACACGTACATCTAGAAACCTATCTGTTCGGGTTATCAAAGATTTCTGTGAATATTTACAGTCCATTACTAAGTATGTTTTCAGTGTACTGATGAACAGGAGTTGTTCTACAGCCTGTTGTACTGTAAAATAAATTTTAGCTGAAGGACAAGTTTTCTATTCTTATGAAACAAGCATAAATGGATTTGTGGACTTAAGGTTCATTGATTTAAACACTTTTTACTGTCAGTAAATCACTTATCTGAACCTTATTCCAATTAGTGTTATACAAAATAAGAAATGGGATGATTAGAATCGAACGTCTTCTGACTGTCTCATTTTCACATCGCATAAACGCTTTTAAATCCGAATTAGTCAGTACTATAAATTACTGATGTATAGATTTCGTTCATATTTTTTATTTGATCATTATTAATTTAGTACAACCAGTTAAGTGTTTTACTCCAAAAAATAAAGTCTCTTGTAGATTTCATGATATATTACCTTTCCATATATTTATCCATTGAGTGAAATTCTACACAAATGTTGCTTTCTAGAATAAATGTACTAGTATTTATGGAGCAGTTTAAGATGTGAGTCAAATGAAAGTGAGTATGGGATTAACATGACGCTGGATTTGTTCTCAATAATTTACCCTTTAAATGACATAACACTTGGACATGTTTTACGTATGCCTAACCACCGACTGCCGCGACGAGCTATGTTTTGTGATGCAGGAATAGGTTGGAAGAAAGCTAGGGGCGGCCAAACCAAAACATGGCAGAAATCCATGAAGTCACTGACAAGTGGACTGAGTGATGTTGGTAGATGTAGGCTATCTGGTTGTGTTCCGCGAGACGAATGTCACCAATAGTTAGAGACCTTGTACGACATGACTCAGAATCGTTTGCAGTGACGCAGGTGCATTCACTCTTTGTGTGCTTTTTAATTCTAACCTTCTGAATTCCTCATAATCCCTACCTTTCTCCTTCTAAATTTTATCCCACCAAATTATACTTTTCGAATCATATCTTTGCTCCCTAATCTTCTCCATTGTTGCTAATAATTCTACTATCACTATCACTCTTGGATTTGAACTGACAATTACGTCTCAGTACTGACGTGGTATGGCAACCTGAACTAATGTACTTATGTACGAAGTTCTGCGTTGTATCTGTCTGTCTGTCTGACATAATACGTCGAATATACACTAATTTACATATATGATCAAGTTGATCACAAGATGAGACAAGCAGTATTTTCATAAATTATTTTGACTGATTATTTGTCACAGAAATAAACACTAGTAATCTGAAACGTAATAACAGCAAAATATGAATCACCAGTAGTTTAATCATTTCGTAGAGTGTATAATTATTTTCGGAATACACACATCACAAAATACATAAATCTTATAAGTACAAAGGGTCGTCTTTAAAAATTACTAGAGGGAAAATATAAATGTACTGAGAAAGTAGTTTTGTGGCGTTGGAATGTTTTTCAAAGATAGTTGTCCGATGTTGTTTATTAATGAAAGGGACATTCAGCAGTTTATTTGCTTGTTGGTACTCAGTGCTTTCTTGCATAATGTTAAATAGGGTCTGTTGTTTCTATAGTGTATTGAGAAATAGTATTGTACATTTAATTTGTAGGAGAGAATTTAGTTTATTGAATCAGCATTAATGTAGGTGATGTAACCTAGCTTCACTGTCGTGTCATATAAAAATATTGATGTAATGTCTAAAAGAAAACGAGCTCTTCAATTGTATTGGGGCCAGATAATCAGTTTATTTATTCTAGAAACAGCTGTATAATTTAGTCCGAGTATTGATTAATCTGCTTGGATTACTGTGTGGGGCCAATCAATCAATCAGTCAATCAATAGCAACGAAGAACTTCGCATGTGCGTACGTACATCAGTTCATGCTGCCATGCCACATTAGCACAGAGATGTAATTGTCAATTCAAATCTCATAGTAGTAGAGGTAGTAAAGGTATTAGCAGTAATCGGAGAGATTAGGATTAGAAGATATTATTCAAGAAGTAGAATCTAGTGAAATAATCTTAAAAAGAAAAAGATAAAGTGATGAAGAATTAAGAAAGTTTAGGATTTGCGAGAACACGAAGAATGAATGCACCTGTGCCATTGCAAACGTTTTTTGAGCCATGTCATTCAGGGTCTCTAACCACCGGTTAATATCATCTCGCGGGCCCCAACCAGGTAGTCGACACCTACCAACATGACTCAACTCAGTTGTCAGTGACTTCATGGATTTTTGCCATGTTTTAGTTTGGCGGTCTCTAGCTTTCTTCCAGCCTATTCCTACACCACAAAACATAGCTTGACGAGGCAGTCGGTGGTTTGGGCCAATGACTCATTGACTTCTTGACCAATAACTTGACCCGCATCAAAACTTCCTCATTTATTCATAATAGATTTCCCGGCACTTTCTTACCCTACAGTCAGAATAAGACAGGCAACACATCGGACATATAACCTCTGTTGTTCTTTTTCTTTCATAACCTAAAATTATGCGATAATATAGGTTAGCTTCCTAGCCTCATAACTCAACATAATTAGGAAATTACAATATATAACTGACTACATCATAAATGAAAGAGAACTCAATAATATAGGTCAATAAATAATTAACAATAATTGAATTAAGATAAAACGTAGAACAAAAGTTTATACACAGAACACAAGTTAACAACAAGGATAACAGAATAGTGCAATAATTCAATTGTTTTAAGAATTATCCAATAAAAAATATAAATACTAAATCTTTCGCAAGATAGTTCCAAAAGTTATACATTTACCATTATTTATCTCATTATTGGAGATATGTAATTGATTTTTAAGCCCTTTTTAACGATTTAGAAACGAACACTTTTTTTGGCAACTAGATTGAATTGTACATTTTTGGTGAAGAGAAAAAAAGTATTGTAATGGTACTATTATTATTCTCCTACTATGCATTTTGTTCGTATGATTTATTGTACTATTATATTTATACTGTTGATGACTTGACAGCTTACTATGAGTCATTCTAACCCCTTGATTAAATGACCTTTGCAGTTTACGAATAATACAATCTTGAAGTATTTATACTGTAAAAAAAAAATGCAAATTTTAGCATTTTTAACAAAAAAAGCCTTGTCTAATCCATTAATGCATCTTTACTCTGGTCATTGTAAAATAAGACAATAATTACGAACTTTTAACAATTGTGTATAGCTTGATGATAAAGGTATTGAAAAACAAAACGGCCGTCTTTCAGTGCTTCCAGGTTTCTAATGGTGGTCTAACAATCATTGATTGATGATTTCAAATGTGTAAAAAAACAAACCTCCAAAACTCTAACTGAAAATATCGTAAAATATGTTCTCTAGTGACTAGCTTCGTGAGGAAATTCTCGGAGTTCTGGTTGAGAAGACGTGACCAATGGAGTTCAACCCTGTCGGGTGTAGGCACTAAATACCAAAGACAAGTGAGTGAGGTCGCGCAAAATCCGTAGATCAATCAGAGTTAGACATTAATTAACACCGTTGGATGCCGGCCCAGTGGTCCAATTGTTAGGCGTTCGCACACAATACCGAAGATCCCGGGTTCGAATCCTGCGAGGTGCAGGATTCGTGGATGCGCACTGCTGCTGATGAGTCCCATACCAGGACGAAATGGCCGTCTTTCAGTGCTTTCAGGTTTCTAATGGTGGTCTAACAATGATTGATTGATGATCTCAAATGTGCAAATATTCTTCGTTTTTGAATAATGATGATTTCCATCATTCTGTCGTTATCTATTCACTTCTTTGTATCTTATTCACTTTTTACTTTCTTTTTATCAATTAGGAATGTGTAAAATATGTAAGTCAAATAATAGAACTATTAAATTCAACATCACCAACACCTGATAGACAATTGTTGACAAGTAGTAGCACCTTGTGTCTTTCAGAATATGACAATAATGGTAATAGGATATGGTTGGAGTTTTTCAATGATTCTATTTGTACATTAAGACAAGCTTTAGAACGTATGATTCAGGTGAGTAGTATGATTTCACTTGATATAAATTGTATACAATGCATTTCATCACTATTTTTAATTAGACTTTTATTTAGCTTATTTGTTGTTTAATAGATAACTTCACTTATCGTTGTTACTGTTTCACATAATCGAAATGTTGTTGTCTGTGGTTTAGTGTCCCATTTCAATACTAATTAATGTATTCCTTATTCGTCGATTCAACATGCTTCTTGATTGAGAAAATTGAGAAAAAGCATTTATCGGTTAATTGGATTGGGAAATAGCTGTATATATATATATATATATATATATATATATATATATATTCGTTCCTCAGAAATTTCAGTTACAGTTTTCCACCGATGACGTTTCTCATTCCCTACATTTCTGCCAATCATATGTGCTTATCACCTAACCAGTATGTCAACCATAAAAATTTTTTACGACGAACAGTGTTAAGTGACTATATATATGCTAAGGTAGGTCGAATGAACTTAGTTGCCTTGATTGCAGACAGAATAAGCCATTAGCTTATGAGTAATAATCCACATATTTTCTGAAGGTGTGTATATAAATCTTAGTTTCATAAAGTTAGGAACGCCTTGTTGATAAGTATTAAATACCATGAAGCCCTAGGTTCAGAGTTCCCTGTTTTCCATTTTCAACCACCTGACATCTCAAAATGCTTCACAAGATGTTAAGTTACTTAGACTAATGGACTAGATGAACATGACGTTGCTTTCTGTTTCATGTTTTTTTTTACTGTTCTTCACTCTTCTATCATTTGAAACAGTAATGTTGTCGAGTCAAATCGTAGCATATATTCATTTCATTATCCGATTGTTTCATTAATCTATTCCATTTCTGACCGTGTTCTATTTCTAATTAGTGTATCAAATTAAATATGTATGGTTCTTATTGGACAAAGATGGTATATTGGTAGATTATCATCACTTTCTAACCATAAATATTAGTTTGGAAGTTTATTGCATTATATGCTTAGATAAACTGTAGATACATTTTGTTGGATAACAATCACGTTGATTATATGAATAATAAGTGAAGTTAATTTGGGAATGGGTTATTAGACAGCAATCAATAACGGTCAAACAAGAGCAGAGAAAGCTAAGGCACAAGCTGAATAAACAGAAGCAAAAAAGCAAGTGAAGAGAAGAATCAGAGCTGATGAGCGAAAATATATGAAAGATCTAGCCATCGCAACAGAAAAAGCTGCAAGAGAGGGAAACATGAGACAACTGTATGATACAACGAAGAAGCTTACTAGAAAATATCGTAAACCAGAAAGACTAGTAAAAAGCTAGGGAGGGAAACCAACCACAACATTAAATAACAGTAAAACAGGTGGGCTGAGCACTTTGAAGAACTCAGGAATAGACCAGTCCCACTGAACCCACCCAACATCGAGGCAGCAGTACCCACAGACGGCCCAACGAATGTTGACCCATCAACAATTGAAGAAATCACCATGGCTACAAGACAAATCAAGAGTGGCAAAGTAGAAGGACCAGATAAATACCAGCTCGGAAATTGAAAGCAGACATAGAAGTAATTGGGACTATTTTCCACGCTGTCTTCAGCAAGATTTAGGATGAAGAACTGGTACCGAGAGACTGGAAAGAACGACACTTCATCAAGATACTAAAGTAACTCTTCTCGTAATCTCAGGAAAAGTATCTGAAAACGCTGCTAAACAGAATGAAGGATTCTATAGACTCCCAACTCCGAGATCAACAGACTAGATTCCATAAAGACCGATCACGTAACGATAAAATTGCGACACTATGGATCATCGTGGAACAATCAGTTGACTGGAACTAACCACTAAACATCAACTTTCTTGGTTTTGGGAAAGCATTTAACAGTGATGATAGGATGATATTATGGAGGCTTCTTCACTAGGCTTCGACTCCATGATGTACCTGAGACGATTGTTACCATCATTCGGAATTCTTATGATTTAAATGACTACAAAATCATGCATGGAGGACAGCTCACAGACTCATTCTAAGTAGAGACTTGTGTCAAACTAGGCTGCTTACTCTCACTCTTTCTCTTCCTTCTGGTTGTTGACTGGATTACGGAGAAGCGTTGGAAGATGTGGAAATCTTTACGTATCTGGTTTCCATCATTGATAAACAAGGAGGATCAGATGCAGATCTGAAGACACATATTGGCAGAGCAAGGGCAGCATTTCCACAACTGAAGAACACCAGGAACTCAAGACAACTTTAACCAACACCAAAGTCAGAATTTTCAACACAAACGTCAAGACAGTTCTATTGTATGGAGTGGGAACTCGGGGAACTACGAAAGCCATCACCCAGAAGATACAGGTGTTTACTAACAGTTTTCTACGCATGAACTACAGATCCGTTGACCAGACATCATCAGCAACAACTTTTGTGACAGGAGACAAACCAGCTTCTAACTGTGGGAAAGACTCTGGAGGTGGATAGGACACACATTGTGGAAATCAATCAACTGCATAATGAGGCGGGGCCTAACTTGGAATCCTGAAGGTGATAGGAAAAGAGTGAGATTAAAAACATATTGTGCCGGTAATTGGAGACAGACATGAAATGAATGAATAGTAGTTGGGAAGAACTTGAAAGGCGAGCCCAGGACAGGGTTGGTTGGAGAATGCTTGTCGGTGGCCTATGCTCAATGAGAAAGAACAGGCGTAAAGAAAGAAAGGAGGAAGGAGTCAACTTAATTTTGATATTGAAGTTTTGCAGTAGTATACTGATAAAGCTTAACTACATATATCATTTATATGACTTTAGTGTTTGTGCTTTAAGTGAAATAATTCAATCGTTCTCACGATCGACATGCTTCATATTGTGTTACTCTGTGGTCATGATACAGTTCACCTACATAATCTATGTATGACCTTTGTACTTATCCAATTTACCTATTCTTACCTTCGTATCCTTACATATTGAATGTTTATATCCATATAACCGGTAGATGGTTCCAGCTCTGTTATTGAATTTCATGTTTACTGTTAATGTGTATGATTATCATCCTATCCATTATTTCGGCGCCTTCATTTCGCCAATTTATTACTGTAGTAAACATTGTTGAAATTTGCAGAAATACAATATTTCAGTATTGATTCATCATTGCTATCATAATCATCATCATCATTAAATTATTTGTATTGCATTTTTATTGTTTTCTGTTTAAAAAATATCCATATTATTTTCATGATCATGTTTATTATTATCATTATTATTACAACTGCTACTAATATTACTATTATTCAGCTAAGTTTAGAACAAATATTGTAATAGGAATTTTCATTTGTATCTGTGTTCATTATATTATTTAGGTTATTTAAAGCAATGAAGAAAGGAATATAAAGAGAGATATAGGGTAGTCCAGTAAAAATATCATTGTTGTAATAATTTCATTTTTATGAAACGTTAAGTTTACAAGTATATACATGGATTTATTAGTATAGTGGTTTTATGAAGATTGTTATTGAGCTAAGGAACCAGGAAGCACTAAACATCTGTTTTGACCTAGTATGGAGCTGCTCTTCAGCAGTGGCGAGCATACACTACCACCACTAGGGTTCGAACCCAGAACCTCCTGGTCTGTCGGTTCAGTAATTTGCTAGTTATTCTCTTTCAAGTAAACTGAAAGCCTTGAGTTCGATCTCTCATTTCTGGGGAGTCTCATACTTTGACGAAGCAGCTGCCCAACGCTTTTGATAAGTCTGTTAAATGAATACAAGATCTGAATTCCTATCTGCTCCTAATAACCCCAGTCTAAATCTACACTGTAATTTGAACAGAAGAGAAAAGGCGCAAAGTACGCGGAAAATGCTTTATTCCGAGGTTAGTTTATGTATAGAGACATGAAGGTATATATAAAGTTACTCATGACCTTGGGCAATGAGAGCGCTTAGTAATCATATGATGGCGCGGTATAGCCGAATATCCAATCAGAATCGTGGCACCTAACTCTGCATTTCCCAGATGGTTCTGAAATGGTTCTATTCAACGACGATTGATTGGAACGTTTCTCGGAATTTCTGGGCCTTTGTAGACTTTAACGAAGGGTATTTCGGGGATTCTCATTAGCTTCCTGGTTTTCAATGGCTTTCTAACTTATATCGGTTCTTGATTTCAGTAACATCAGATTTGTAATACAGTGATAATGTACATGACATTTATTAGTAATAACAATATAATAGAAGTATTCTGTGTATATTATACTTTTTTTTGCTGTTATATAGGTTGCGGACCATATCAATGAACGTAAACGTTATCGTGAATTATTAGATCAACTTCGGATTACTCGATTAGATGTTGATAATTGGGGCGATCTAGTATTACGTGATCATTTTCGTATACCCGGTAAAAAAGATCTACGTCTTGTTCTGTTATTTCAATGTGCACTTATCTTATGTAAATATACACCGTCTACTTCTACTTCGACTGGTATCAGTTTGTCAAGTTCACAGTCCATGCATATACATTGGAGTAATAAAGCTAATACAATGACAACCACAACAACAACAACGACAATGAAATCACGTGGTGGATTAGATAGAGGATTAGGAAATTCTAATCTCACAGTTAGATCAATTGAAATACGTGAAGTGATTAGTGTGAGTTTATTGTTTTATTGTTCTATTTTTGTTTTAAAAATCCGTGAATTCACTTCTGTTAGTGGGACATAGATGGAAATAAAGCATGACTGCGTTAGCTGCGCGCTGATTGGCTAATTGCCTATCCAATCAGCGCCTGATCGATTCTTGGAGAACAGGATAGAAAATTCTCGTGTTGTTAGCTGCACTCTGATTGGCTAAATCTAATCCAGTTGATCACGTGAAGTACAGTCCAGAAGCTTCTCATGTAAATGCTATAAAGAAACTAACGTTGTATCTATTCTCGCCTTCGCTCTTCGCCTTCGGCTTCTTATTCCATTTTACCTTGCTATTTGGAATATAATCTTTTCCTGTTCCACCGTGTTTTTGATCCTTTGAAACTTGTCCAGTGTATTGTGGTCAGAGAATACTAAGCGATAGCGAATTGGCCGGGAATTATCTAAGCTAGCGTTACAACAACTTCAATCAGAGTTTCGAAGCATATAATCTAAAACAAATGTCGATATATTCTAGGTTTCTTACAAAGATTGAGATGGGAAATGAATACTTTTGCAAAACTGTGAAGTTTTTTTTCGTTTGAATACTGTATTAGACAAAAAAGTTAGCAAATGTTAACTGATGACAGGATTGTATGGAAGAGATAGAGACTTTTAGACATACCTAATTTACAGCGAAATACTTGGATTGCTACAGATATCCTATATATCCATTTCATATTGCTTGGTAAGACTGATGTTTACATTTGAAATACCTTGTAAAAACTTAGTGATTCTATTGATTTGGTAGTTTGACCATAGTATATTTCATTTTCCAACTACCTTTTTGAGTTACTTTTAAGGCATTCGTTTTATATTTTTTTAAAGCCTTATCGACCGTATCAGAACTATTTTCGGAGTAATTTGGTTTGATCAACTCTTTCTAACTCATTCTGTCAGTTAAAAAGTAGAAACTCTGTAAATACCACCATCATCACCTCTCAGTCCATCTGGGAATTCTTTAGACCTCAACCTCTGCATCTTGAATTGTACTGACTGTGTAACTAATATCTAAAGCGTAACAGATCTTCAGACAATATGTATCTCAATCGGTATAGCTCAATTAACAAGTTTGGTCAGTATCAAAATGGCGTTTGTAGTCGAAGTAGTGATAAATTTCATCTTCATTTGATAATAATTCCATTCGAAATGCATTGCATCTAATACTGTGGGATACAAAACAACGGAACTTATTGTTTTTACCATAAGCTGCTATTATTAGTGACCTAATATTTTTTTAAAATGAACCACATTACCAATTTAATAACATTGAATGTCGACTAGTCTAAATAAAAACTGACTTTCGAAGATAACTAACCAACTATGAAATGATATTCAGTGACTTATATTTCATGTTTGTTGATGAAAAAGTGAATCTTCATCAATTGAGGTGGTCGGTAAATGTAATACGTACGCAAAACCACCGCTCCACCTCTATGTGCAACGTTGGCTGGTGTGGGTGAGTAAGTTTAAAACTATGGGAAGCCAAACAAAGATATAAAATCTCATTAAGTTATCGACCGTTATATTGAGTCGTGTTTGTAGGTGCAGACTATCTGCATGTGGACCAAGCAATTATCATGGTCAGCGTTTTGCAATGTCGGGTGATATAGGTCGGAATCGATCCCGACAACAAAGTCTTATTACCTATTGATTCTACCTGTGGATCATGGGTTAATTATGGTTTTAAACTTATTTTCTAACCGTGAATTCATTTCTTCTTCTTGATTCATGTAATCTTCATTATCATTGATACTACTTCTACTACAATGATATTCATTTTGGTAATCGTATGTTAAATACAATAACTTCGTGTGATTTACATATGTGTCAGATTCTGTGTTGCTTGTGACTGATATCACTTTTTATATGTAACACGCTAACGGTCAATAAAATACAAGGTTCTTTTCCTATTTCCAGGTTATGTAAACTACTGATACACAATTCTCTCTTGTTACTTACTTTTATGTTATTTGAATGTTCGGTAAAATTTTAAATTGATTGTTGACCTCCAAAAATTTAATGATGAGTATGAAATTCAGATTGTTTTAGTTTTGTGAAACAATTAAATGCAACTTCAGTGAACTTGAATATAATTTATTTGCTAACAATAAAATAACCTGACTAGTAGCTGCCTGGACGTGGTGGTAGGGCTTGAAATAGTATCCAAAAAGCTGTGGAAACAGTAGTGTGATATTTGCCAGTAAGGTAAACCAAAAGGTTAGAGAGGAGCAATGGATTTCAGTAGCATCTACTAGATTGATAGATACTCGGAAACTCATCTCATTTGGGTCTGAACACGATGGGGAGCAAAGTCAGCTTAAACCCAGCCTACTCAGTGATCGCGAACAGTGGTGTGTAGGGAAAACAAGGCAGCAGTAAGTAATAGTAGGCGTTTATTTAGACTTATCAAGAAAACCGATATTATAATTCTGACTGTTAGTGCGACTATCTCAGAAAAGGATGGGCATATTATTCATTCTCAATCCAGGGGGTTGGATCGATCGACAGAACACTTGAGGGATCAGTTCAACCGGTCTTCAACCACATTTCGGTTGCCCACGATCTCCAGTTAACCTAAATGGCAAGTTGATGTAAGTCCCCCGACTATTAATGAGGTTGAAAAGGCTATAGGAAATTTGAAGCGAGGTAGAGCTGCAGGGCCTGATAGGCTAAGCCCTGAGATGGTGGTCCAGTTTTAGCAGTTAAATTGACTGAGATCTTAGGTAGAATCTGGGAGCTGAACGTAATGCCATCCAACTGGTCTCAAGCACTGATTGTCTCAATCTATACGAAAGGACAAAAGTCTTCTTGTGACATTCACAGAGGATTCAGTTTGACAAATACAGTGTCTAAACTACTAGCTTCAGTAATACTTTGACGCCTAACTAGAACCCGTGAAGAGCAGACAAGAGAAAACGAGGTTGGTTGGATGAATATACCTTATATACACATTTCGTCAGGTCCTAGAATACACTCATTCAGGCGTCCCACAATAGTTGTACTTCTCGACCTTTAGGCTGCGTTTGACTCAGTGTCCGTCATTGAAAGATAAACCAAAGAAATACATTACCTTTGTACAGACTCTCTACTCAAACACTACTGGCTTAGTCAGAGCTTATGGTGAACTGTCATCGGCATTGATTACTTCAAGTAGTGTTTCATCAGGCTTGTTCACTTTCCATTCTTAGTAAAGATCAATTAAAACAAGTTAAAATAAATATGAGGTGATAATTATAAATAAAGAAGAGAGATAATTAAGATATAATGGAAAGAATAGCAAATTGTCATATTATCCTTGGCCTTAATGACTTCAGGGTTACGACAAATTGTTCATGTACACATAAGGGGCTTCTGAATTTATAAACAGCCTAGGCTTCTATAAACTTCAGAATTCGTCCTTGACACATTTCTATACAACGTTTTAAATGCCATCTTTATGTCAATGCTATGCCCCATTTCGATTAAGTGTTTCGCTATTAATGAACATAGACGTTTTTCGGGTCATTTAAAACTAACTGATTTTGAAACCATTTAGGCACACGTTCCATAACCCTTGATTGCATTGTCCGATTACTCCTCCACACTCAAACCCGTAAACTGATAAATTCAATGGGATGTGACGTAATCGCTCGTTCATTGTCTAGGCCTATGTGGAATCATCAACCAATGTAGGTGTGTAATATTTTCACACTGGCTTCTTTTAGTCTCTATCACAATCAAACTACTTGGTTGACCATCACATTATTCAGATCCACTCTCTCTTCTCAATGTCCTATCTAAATTATAAGTTTTGATGATATCCCACTGAGTAGAAATTTGTATTTCTGACATTTTGCGACTTAATACAAGTCACCTCTTTAGAGTAAATAAGTAAATAACCGAAAAAAGTTAACACAACTCTTAAAACTAAAAAGAAAACAAGGAGGGTAATAAAGAATCTGTAATTTGATACACGAGTTATTAGAGTTGTGTGTGTGTGGAATTGTGTAGATAATAAAGTTAAATGTAGTTATTTAGATAAACAGTCCAGGTCGGATGAATAATCAAGCCTTCTCTCCTACTGAGTGCAGAGGGATTTCTTATTATATGAAATACTTCGGCTATTCGCCTTTATAGTTAGAAAAACCATTATTCTGAATTATTTCGATATTTTTAATATCGATTTGGTGGTTATTGAAATAGCGTGTACTACTATTATCGATTTAATTTGTGAATTTGTTGAGTTCTACAGGATTATAAAGTCTTTTTGTTTAGCTTTTAAGTGTTCTTCTGCATGAGTCGAGATTTCACGAGAAAACTTTCCAATATTAAAACTCATCACAATCAACACAACCTAGTTTGTAGACACAGTTTTGTATGTGGATGTAAAAGGAATCTGATCCTTAATTCTCATTAAATCATTTCTTAGAGTGTTGATTGTTTTATAGAAAGCTTTAATTCCGAATGTTTTCAACATCCCTTGTAATTCTTCTGTCGTAACTTAGCGGCAAGGTAAAATCACAGTATACCACTCTAAGGACTTCCATTGGAATTGTTACTTATAGATAATAAGCTTTTAATAATATTCATAGGAAAATTATTAAGCCGTAAGATGTTTATTTTATTTTCGGGCAGTTTTTGGAGGTTTGTGTTTTTACACATTTGAAATCAATCAATCATTGTTAGACCACCATTAGAAACCTGGAAGCACTGGACGGCCGTTTGTCCTGGTATGGGACTCATCAGCAGTCCGCATCCACGACTCCCGTACCTCACGGGATTCGAACCCGGGACCTTCGGTATTGTGCGCGAACGTCCAGTGCTTCCAGGTTTCTAATGGTGGTCTAACAATGATTGGTTTATTTTATTATCTTTTTCCTTTAGCTGATCTTCTGAAGTAATGATCTTAGTAGTCGTTCTGAAAAGGTTCATGGCCAGAGGGATTTTTGCTTTGAATGGATGTACCGAGTTAAAATCAGTGTACCTATATGAATGTTATGATTTTCGGTATATAATTAGATTTTATTGAACATCTGCTAGATTAGATTATTATCATCCTCGAGTTAACCATTAATGAATTCTAGACATTTATCGATTGGAATACTAGTGTATCATAGTTTACAATTGTTTCATTGTCGTTGATCGATAATTCTGAGGTTTCTGATGTTAAATTCACATGAATCATTTATGACATTATTAAAGTTATATTGATGTGGATTTAATAGATGGCTTAGATATTTGGATAAAGCATATATTGAAGTGTTTGTGAAGTCCGCTACGGATCTTAAAGGGATGTCAGGTTTGTGAATTTTAAGTTGCCCATAAAAACATGATAGGGTTTTAGATTTGGGATATAAGATAATATTGTTTTTAACGGCCTGGAGATTTTTTGAGTTTACCTTTGTTTGTGGCCCCATAGATAGATGTTTGAGTGTTTTCTTCTTTTTGAACGCTTTTGTTCATGAACACTGTTGTGTTACCTTTGTCAGCTTTGGTAACGACAATCGTTCTATCTTTTTTTATACGGAACGTAAAACCCTTCATTTTTCTTTGATCATAGTGGGTGGAATGCATATTTATTTTTTTCAAGATGTTAATTCAATGTTTTTTTTGACGTAATGTATATGATTAATTATCTGGAAGTTTTTCGAATACCGGTTGTAGAATTGGAGTGACTTCTAGAGTACTAAGAGGTTTTCTATGTAAATTATGAGTATTAAGAGTTCTATTTGAAAGATTATGAACCATCTTCAGATCATTAAAAGTTCTTGATGATTTATTGTCTTCTATATTTAATTTTCTCAAATTTGTTGATTTGTTTCGATTTTGATGTATTAAGCTAATGGAACTCTCTTTGAAAAAGTTAAAGAATGGAGTGCATAATTCCATAGGTATTAAAACTCTGATGCGTTCACGATTGAATGAACATTTGTGAATGCGTTCTTGTGAGAAGATAGATACTTGGTGCACATTGACCATTGTGAATAGAACGCCATGAATGTTCTAGTGGCTTAACAATTAGACTTGAAAATAATGTTATTGTTTAAACAACGTACCAATTACATTTACACTTAGTTAATTTGAATCGATTAGGTATCAACACAAATTTTGGACCTGATAGATTCAAACAAATTGAGAATCGGATTGAAATTTAATAATAATTATAATTACTGGTGATATTAGTGGAAATGTCTATTTCTGATGTTAAGTGACTTAATTTTATTATGGACCCACAGATGAGGGTACGAGAAATAATTCTAGTTACTCATAAGTAGTATAATTATAATGATTTAATTTAATGTCTGACTTATCCGAGAAGTCATTTGGATTGATTTCAATTATCAATGTGCCTATACTGTCTAACGTTATATGATCATTAAAAGTTTTCGTATTTACTTTCTTGTCTTTTTCTGTTTTGTTTATTTACTTGTACTGCTTTCCAGGTGTATGTGTACTTGTAGCACATCATAGTACGCGTGATTTATCTAACTTTAGAGCGAACGTCATAAACTCTGATGGCATGTGACAACTGAGTTATTTTTACTATTCCAAAGACTATTTTTTTTCATAAAGAATTTCGATCTTCAGTACATATGCCTCTTTCCAATTCTGCACTTATACATCATGAATGTTTGTGTGTGCGTGTGTGTGTGTACATTTATTATTCTATCGGATGTCTGTCTCGTTGCAACAATACACATTATCTATTTCAGTCATATTAAAGTTTGTAATGAGTAATATTTTGAGTGGGCATATCTACTTTTTCTATTTCTCATCTAACTGTTTATTTGAGTAACTGAATGCTAACGTAATTCATCTTTGGATTTTATTACTACCGTTCTTCAAACAGAGTTAGCCTAAGTAAAATATCCGAAATCAAATGGGGGATTTTTGTTCATGAGTCATTCATCTTCGGTTCTTTCGTCAGATTGAAGTTTAGTTAGTCTATCAGCCAGTCGATTAACCAATTAATTATAATTTATTTGCATTACGGGGTTGTGAAGATTGTTAAGTTACACATTTTTGAAACCATGAATCGATCAATGTTAGACCATCATTAGAAACCTGGAAGCACTGGACGGCCGTTTCGTCCTGGTATGGGACTCCTCAGCAGTGCGCATCCAGTGCTTCCAGGTTTCTTCTAATGGTGGTCTAACATTGATCGATTCATGGTTTCAAAAATGTGGAACCTAATAATCTTCACAACCCCGTAATGCAAATTACCTGTGCTCACTAGTGACTAGCTTCGTGAAGAATCTTCTCCGAGTTCTAGTGGGAAGACGTGACCAGTGAAGTTCAACCTGTTCGGGTGTAGGCAGTGTCTACCGAAAACTGTGTATAAGGTTGCGCAACTCCGTGAATTGATCAAGTTAGACATTAACACCGTTAGATGTGGTCTCAGTGGTATAGCGGCTAGGGCGTTCGCGCACAATACAGAAGGTCCTGGGTTTGAACCCTGCCGGGTGCAGGAATAGTGGACGTGCACCGCTGAGAAGTCCCACAACAGGATGAAACGGCCATCCAGTGGTTTCATGTTTCTAATGGTGGTCTATCATTGATGGTTTCAAAAATGTATAATTTATTTATTTAATTAGTTAATTAATTAATATTTATAATGATTTTTTTTTCACTTGATAATTTTGTTAGTGCGCTAATTTAATGCTAGTTGAATGCATTGACAAAGATCCATTAGCATTTCATATATTACCATTTGATAATCCTAAAGCTCAACGTACTCTACTAGCCATCAATTTAGAAGTGAAACGTTTATGGTGTCGTGAAATAAAACGTTTAATATTAGAAAATTATGATGCAGCTATTCCGGAGAGAGCTAAACAAATTGTTCTCAATATGGCTGATTTAACTTATGGTCCTCCCATTAAAGATACATCTGATCTACCTATGAGTTTGTGTAATTTACAACAAGTTGGAACATTTGATTTTGAACAAGACTGTGCCAGTGATCGAGTACATCGTAAGAGTGATACAGCTCTTCCAAGTGAGTAAGGTTTTTTTGTTGTTGAAAAGCTAAAATCAAATAAATTATGCTATGTTTGTTTTATTCAATGATTCAATTGTAGATATTACTTTTTGTTAATTTATATAGTCCCTGTTCTATATTAATGGATTAGTAGCTAGAACTAGAAACTGGTCTATTTGCATCCATACTGATATGTGATCGAAATTGCGTTCTGAATTCTTTTATTACCCAGAAGCAGGTCCAATTCTAGCATAACTATGTTCTAAATCGGAGTTTTCATACATGAAACAAAGTTTATCAATTAACGTCCACCAAAACGAATTATGAAAATTATTTTTAAGAAAGTTACTGCAAACGACATCATGGGTTATTCAGTTTTCTTGATAAATGCTCAGTTCTTTTTTATGACAATGACCTCCAGGTTTAAGCTTACTAGTTTGGATTTTTTCGTGACCTTTGCTCTTTTATGAAGGGGTTTGTTACTACTTTTGGTTAGCTGATTTCTCGCTTACTCCAGCTCCATGTTTTCGTCACTGTGTATACAAAGATGCACAGTTTCAGTTTCTCTGTTTGAATAGCAGGTTAGCCTAAACTTTCACCTACTTGTTCACGTTCACAACTTCTGATTTTTGTTGAGATGTTGTATGCCAATTTCCATTCCTCCACAAAAATAAACGCGTGTATTAGAATACAGATCGTTGCGTAATTAACAAGTACTATAATCTAGTACTGAAGTAGTTGCAATACTTAACAGTTTCACTGCTCATTTTACTCAACTAGCTGGTACTTGATATTGAAACTCCAAATTCAGTGACCAGTAATGCAGATCAAAGGCTGTTGATAAGGATTTATTTAATTCACGAAATAAATCAAAATATTTTAGGCATGCACTGCCTTTTTTTAACAATAAAATTATTGTATATTCTGATTAACTATCAGATTTATATAGCTTGACTAAGTTGGATTTAAAATCAGTGAATTAGTAACTTATTACGTTCAATGCGTACTTACTATGTCGTACTGATCAATTTCCACATTGACTAAAATTTTACTCTTTTAATTCTGTCATATCAACGCATGCAGGTAAAGGATATGCTTGAATCATTACGAGTTTACCTTAGTTAGTAAACGAGAGCAAGGATCGATGATCCGGCGACACGACATGCTACTCTAATCGGAGCTTCCCAACCCCCATTGAGTAAAAGAAGAAGACTTGATATGAAGTGGAACCTGTATTCTACAAACATCCAAAGAATCAGGATCCCGGACTAGGGATCCGGGTCCGGTCCATAAAACGTTACAGATAATGCGTATTTATACAGTTATATCGAATAGGAAACAACATTGAAGTCTGTGACATTGATAGTTAGGACGACCATAATATTGACTAGTAGAAATCGACCAATAGAATTAGACTTCCAAAAATAATTCTCTTAGGATATTTGGTGAATATCCTAACAGTCGGTGACTTCATTCTTCTTATATATATATATATATATATATATATATATATATATATATATATTCAAACTATATTTTAATTATCATATTATTAGGTCTTCGAAGCTTTTTAAGTCGACCAGGAAACAAGCAATCACTTTATTCAAATCCAGTTCATACACTTAATCTCTCTTTGAATGATGATAATGATGTTGTTGACAATAATACTAATAGATGTAGAATACCACCTTTATCAACAACAAATGGTTGTATGTTGAATGATAAGAGCAGTGTTCTTATTGATAAATTTTTACCTTCTACCATCAATGATAGTAGTAATCATTCATCGGATAGACATCTTGATTCATTACTACATGAAGCTTGGGAAGAGATATGGGCTAAACATCATTCACCAGTGAAAACAACTATTGTCAATAGTCAGTCAGATTTATTGAAAAACAATAATGATAATAATAATAATAATGATAATTTTCAATTCAGTGCAGAAGATAATTGTTCAGCTGATTCATTGGTAGTATCAACAACACCAGATTCTAATGATGCAGATTTTCGATGTATTGCTGTAGAAATAAATGAAGAGAAATTTGGCCTGTTATCACCTGTCACTGTTCCTACTCTATGTTCTGTTGATGAAGCGAAAAAGAATTCAGTCTCTTCGTTATCGAAATTAAACACAAATTCTTTAAATTCTCATGTAAATAATTCAGGTAAATATTTATTATTTATGTTTATTGAAAAAAAAAATTAAATAATTAATTAATCAGTCATTATTTATTGGTATTAGTTTGAATTTTTTTCGCTATTGATGTTAAGGAAAGAATTTTGACTATCAGTAGAATCCCAGATGCATATTTCCTTTCGTATGAAACTCGTCGGCTGGTTATACCTACAGCATCCTAGTGTTGATCGTCAATTCGGGAATAAAACTCACTACTTATCGTTTCATGCGTCCAACGCATTATCTACATTAACCTCGAACAGATCCAGACATAGATGAGAGGTCAAATTCATCCTCGTTGCACAAGCTAATGGTTATCTGAACTCAGTATCGCAATGGATGAGTCAGTCAGTCAGTCAGTTGCAACGTAGAACTTCGTACGTATGTACATCAGTTCATGTTACCATACTACATCAGCACAGAGACGCAAATGTCAAATCAAATTCCATAGTGATAGAGATAGTAGAGGTATTAGTGGTAATGAAGAAGACTAGGGTTTGAAGATATTATTCAAGAAATATAATTCAGTGAGATAAGGTTAGAAAGACAAAAGTAGAGGTGCTGACGAATCCAGAAGATTAGGATTTGAGAGAGCTCAACGAATGGATGCACTTGCGCCATTGCAAACGATTTTGAGCCATGTCATTCAAGGTCTCTAACCATTGGTGACTTTCATCTCGCGGACCCCAACCACGTAGCCTACATCTACCAACATGACTCAGTCCACTTGTCAGTGACTTCATGGATTTGTGCCATGTTTTGGTCTGGCCTCCCCTAACTTTCTTCCAACCTACTCCTACACCACAAAACATAGCCCGATGAGGCAGTCGGTGTTTAGGCATTCGTAACACATGTCCCAACCACTTCAACTGATGAAGTTTCACCACTTCATCTATTGATCTGCCATTCTTACCTAGTACTCGTTTCCTAACGACCATCGCAATGGATGATGCGTTGGATGTGTTAGGTGCCATGTTCAGGTCCTGGTACGGATATCAACATGGATGAAATTACATTAGCAACACTAGCCAATGTTGATGTTTGCTTCATAAAGTCAAATCAATGAAATAGATAATCGTTAAGGTGGCTGGACTAATGCGTTTGTAAAGATCTTCATCGAAAAAACTACCAACCAATTAACTGAGTTTTTGAAAATATTCTATGAAGTAGAAGTTTTTCTATCAAAGAAATATCAGATTTGAGTGATTAGTAGTAGCCGACACTGGGGCCTGGATTTAGTTTTTGTGTTACAGTCTTGAGAGAGTTGATGTTTCTTGTGAGACTAGGAACCTGAATCACCACATTTCAAAATCTGGATCGTTACCACTAATCTATTCGGATTGCTACTAGACTTATGTAGGAATGAAATATTTACATTGACTGGTCAATAGTTAGTAACCACTAATGTCATTTTTGTTTACTATTTAATGCAAATCGAATTCTGTCGATCAAGTCGATTGGATTATTTATTGAGATAAAAACAGTTTACCAAGTGTTGAAATGAATGTTACACAGTAACCAATGTTACTTCGCTCCTACACATCATAGGGACATCCACATAGTGCTTAATTGAGATTAAGAGATACTGGGTAATATTTTTTAACATGACGTTTAAATTATGTAGCAGTACACAGTGATCATCTGAGGTTGGTTCGCCTTTTAAGTCAGTCAGACGCTATGTACAAACTAGCATATATGCCATTATCTCAAGTTATCATACCACATTAGGACAGTAAGTTGAAGCTACCAAGACAAATCCCAGAGAAGTAGGAGTAGAGTTGTAATAGAAAAGATAATATATATTGGAAAAAAGAAAATAAGGTATAAGAGAACTGTGGAATTCAGGTTTTACAGAAAGGTAAATAATGAATGCAAGTGCTCCATTGCAAATGATTCCGAACCATGTCACTCAAAGTCTTTAACCATTACTGAATTCCGACTAACTAGTCTACAGCTACTAACATGGTTCAATTCAGTTTTCAGTGATTTCATAAACTGGCGTTAAGTTATGGTAGTGGATATTCGATATAATTAATAAACTTCGTATACTGCTCCTCCTGATGACCGTTACGAGATAACACCCAACGGGTGTATAAATCAGAAGATGAATACGAAGCGTTGATTACGTACTTTTTTTTTATTATCTCACTACACCGATCACAAAACACCACAGGCATACGAAACGGGAGCGAAAACGATATGAGAGTGCCGAAGAGCGAACGAATGAATAGGATTAAAGTGTACACACACATATACATTACGAAAATGAGTGAGTCATCGAGTTATTTAGAGGAGGCCTAACATTAAAGCTTGTCGGATGATTATGTGCGTAGGCGGTAAACAAAATTCTCAAGCTGACATGCGCAACAATCATAAAAGTACAGTGGTATATAGATAAGTTGTTGCTGTTAGAAAGACACTGTCTGTTAAATAAGTAATAATGAAAGGGCTTAATCAAATTGAACTTAAAAAAAACTAAAAAAGTATGTGAATTGCTATAACGTCTTGATTTGGTCACTTCTAGTTTGCTTTCGTCAGACAGTTAACCTCTTAAAGGTTTGGCCAGTGGCTTTTTGAAGTTCTCTATTTTATCGATAGGGCGTGATTCCCCTAAATGAGTTTACTCAAACAAAATTAAGTTGAAATTTTCCTAAACTAACCTTTCTTGCTTAGAATTATTGTGAGCATTACGTTTTCGTCACAAAAATTCAACTATCTTCAGTAATTAATTTGCTCCTAACCCTATTAAACACGGTTTGTAATATTTTACTTTGGTCAAAGTTACTTCACATCCTAATAACTTTTAAAATTATTCTTCTTCATTCAGTTTATTGATCGAAATACTTATTAAACCATTTTACAGTACTCTTTCATGACATATATTGACAAAAACAAATATTTTTCTGGCCTCAGGTTGCCCTGGTATGGCCGACAATGGGAGGAGTCCGCTGTCCCTCTCCAGATGCTCTTATATGGCCACGCCTGTATAGCCTCTACCATAAAAGTCTTACTGACTGCCTTCTTGTGGTGAGGTGTTATTTATGAAAATAGGAGAACAAAATGCGAGTGTCTGGCACTTTAACGGGGTTAGTGGGCACATAGGGTCCATCTAGAGGAGTTGTAAAACCGTGATTTCAAACTAGTGGTACACGTGGGCTCCGGAATCTGGAATCTACTGTTGGTCACCGACTAACATGGGATTGCATCTTCTAACCTTGCTCCACTGCACTGCCTTGTTCATTAATTCTCTAGGTCAAGGGTTTAGGGAGTGGCCTTTTAAGAAGACCACTTGCTTCAATTTAGGCAGGCGTTCAGTATCACGGCCCACGTGCAAATTCATTGATTTTTGTGGTTTCCCTTTATGCCAATAATTTTGTCTGTAAATAAATGATCAGTAACATTTTCCCTGCTTTTTTTTTCTTTCTCAATAAATCAGATAACCACAAATCTTCTGTTCCTACTACACCTCCTTCTTCACAACATTTATTGCATTATTCTTCATCATCTACTTTTTCACCTACTCAACGATCATCATCAATATCATTATCTAATAAACTTGTAAATAATCGTGATCGTACAACTTCCGTTTATATTGATTGTCCAAGTGCATCATGTTATGATGTGATTACATTTGGTCGAACCTATGAACAATACATTGCTAAAGCTCGAGCTATGGTAGCTTTATCACCAAAAGATTTAGATGAAATATTTAGTCCATTACGACAATTAGCATTTAGTAGTAGTAGTAGTAGTGATCTTGACCATGAACACTCTCAACGCTCACTTCATCATCATCATCATGATCAAGATGAATCATCATTATCGTCGAATGTTACCAATGCAACTGCCTCTCCATTAGTATTAAATACAAATGTGAATTCAGTGAAACAATTCTCTGACGACACCATATCAACAACTATGATTCAAGATCAAAATTGTCTAACATCTAGATTAAAATTATCTTTAACTGAAATTACATCTCCTGTAGAAGAATATAAAGATGAGTTTTTTAATAATAATAATAATGGTAATGATAGGAATAATGACTGTTATTCGTCAGGTGCTAGTTCTCCACGTCATTTAGTTAGTTGTATCGCTGTAACACATAATAATCAAAATGGATTCAATAATAAGTTAATAACAAAAGTAAGTAATTTTTTTGCCTAATTTCCTTTTAATAGTTCTTTTAGAAATCTATTATCAGTTAACATTGGCTGGTTCAATAACTGCAATGAATAGATTTTGGTGTTTTTGATTTCTAAGTTTCTATTAATATTCCCATTGATGGTTAACTTTTGAAGTGTAATTATTATGTTCGTCAGTTGATATGCTTGAAACTATTACGAATTCACTTTATAGTCGATAAATGAGAGTGAAGCAATGATCCAGTGACATGATAGGCTACTCTAATCTATTGCCCCGTCTAACTGAGAAAGAAGTCTTGATATTAGCGTAGAAAGTGTATTCTACAAGCACCCAGAAAATATGAGGTTGACAAGTACATAAATCGAGTATATTTTATACGTCCTTGGGAGAATCAAAAAAATAGGGTACTAAAATAACACATCAACCAATGACAGTCAGGGATTTTCCTGGTGGGAAATGTAATCTCAAGGTCAACTGGTCAGCCCATGAATAAAATCCAAAATTAGGACCTTTATCAAGTGAGTTCTAGGGGTCTAACGTCCCCAACAGTAATACCGGAATATTTTAGTTATTTTGATCAAGTAATGTTTGTGACTCGGGTTAGTTTTTTTCCGAAGAATTGCTGACTTTGAGTATCGACAACACGTTAGTTATGCTGAGGTTTGTCACTATAATTTAACTAGTATCATTATCCGGGATACATGTTACGAACATTAGTTCAAGAGGTTCCACATGAAGTAGAGTAAAATAGATCAGTTTAACTATAGAAGTTTTTTTAATACACACTTAAGTTAATCGATTACAATGATTAGAATTTATGGGTTTGAATATTTGTCGCTAAACAACAATCATAGTAAAATTACATTGAAAGTTTTTAGTGGTGATCAAATCGGGATTGACTATGATCACCATTACAGCAATTACGAGCCCATCACTGAGAAGAAGAGTTATTCCATAGTAAAGAATATATTTGCTGGCGATTTCGTGGTATCGAAAGAATACCGAAATCGTGCCAGAAAAGAGAGGCGAAATTACAGAGACAGTAGAGCCAAAAATGGCAGCAACATAAACAGAAAGTTTGACCATACGGAAGTGTTATCAACAAAGAGGTTCAGTAAAACAATCACTGGTACAATTGGTTATTATAATGAATGTTTCTATGTTTCTCTTCATAAAAGTGGACCCACTGCAAATCCACGAGTAGAGTTCAAACTGAATTATTTAATGTAACGGGAAATCATTTCGATCAGTATTGATTCCCTTTCTCAGAATTTGTCCCGACCGAAGCCGCTACCTTGACGTGGTGGTCGGGCTTGCCTATCGTCATGACCCAACCGAGCTATATTGGCTGGAACTTATGTTCCTGAAGGTTCTACCATACCAGGCAGGTCGATTGGAGAACGATGAGACTAAAAGCAGCTACCCAAGGTCTGAGGGTGAAGTCGTACTGCTGACTGTTTAGGGGTGTGACAGCAGTAAGGTGTTTCCCTCGGACAACCAGCATCTGCAGCGATGCTGCCTTCTCACAAGGAAGGAAGGGTTAGAAAAGGTCGACCCTAAAAATGTCACACCTCACCCTACCTCACGGATTTCCGTCTTCGTCGGTAAGGGTGCCCACTAAGGGCCTTTAAGAACGGAGCTAATCCTCAAAAAACATTTCATAAAAAGGCCGTGCGTGACCGGCCTGAAGCAGTTGTCCCTTGGGCTCTGCGGTCAGGCACCCAGGTCTCTAAGACTAACGCTAATCTATCTTCCTTTTCAGGTTCTTCAACAAACAACCTTCCACGGTGTGGGCGGGTATCCGGGAAGTGACAACCGCCCTCATACCTGTAACAGCACACGAGACCAAATTGGTCAAAATCAAATCCTTATCAGAATTTGTATTTCAGGATTGCACGTCCCCCAGTAGGTGATCGGTTAGATGTCGAGCCATAATGTTTAAGATTTGTTGAAATGGGATCTGTTTTCCCATCATGTTTGCCTAGTCGGGATCTTAGAGGCTGTACTATTCATTAACTTGAGACGTTATCAAACGTATAAAAACAACACTCATTGGCGATCCTCTTATAGTTTTCATTAACATTCTTTATAAATTTAAAAGGAATTCCTTTCAGTTAAATGATCCTTCCTGGTTGTATTTTTTCCTAAAATCGAACTATCTTTCCTATTTAAACTATTCTTGTTCACTTATTTTTATTTGTCTATTTATTGATTTTGACTATACTCCCCAATTCATCTGTCTGTTTACATTTTCATTCTTTTATTTGTATCGAGCATATATTGATTTTGATGTCTATTTCTATCAATGTTTATGCGTATTTAAAGATTTCATTTCTTTTCTCACATATTTAGAATATAACTGTGATACCAAACAACACCTCTGATACTTCGACAATGAAAGCGACAAATTGTGTATCAACTGCCAGATCAAATTCACTATCAGGATTTCGAACAACGGAATTAAAAAATCATATCGAACCAGTCGGTAATTCAGATCGTGGACGAAGGTATGTTAGCGATGCGACTTTTCTGTTTGTGATTTAACTTTTTTTATTACTTCACTATGCAAATTTTTCTATTGAAACATGAAGATTGTTGATGTTTGATCATTTCATAGACCAACTGTAGTGAAAGAGAACTCAGATGGGGTGACCGAATTGTATTTAACGAAAATTACAGAGTTACTCAGTAATATAGGAAAACCATATCGTAAATCGTTCATTCGCAAAATAACAGTTCATCATATCGAACTGGACTGTTCCTGTTGCCAAACATCAATCCATTGTCACTATTCATGCGTTTCATACAAATCCGATTGTGTTCCAACTCTTCCTTCCTTGATCTTCCCCCATCTTCTGCTGCCAGACATTACGTTGACACTCACATCATATACTACTTGTAAGTAGCTCGCACCACACTACTACTGGTCATTCTGTTTCATCGCCGTTTGCTTATTTGCAGGAAAAACTCTTATACTTTCGTCTTTTTCTACTTTGTGTATACAGTTCAATGACTACTGTACTGATTAGACTTTCTGAACAATCTATGTCTAGTTTATCGTTTCATGTGTTCAAACATTCTCTAGCTGGTCAAGATTAAATAGGTTGAGATATAGTTCAAACTCCTGACCTTATTTTTCTTAATGAGATTAATAAATTTTTAAGATCTATCTCACCTACTTCAGTTCTGTTAGCAAGGTCGTTTATTCATAACTTGGATACAATAGATTTGACTCACTATCCAACCAGTGATCAATGACATTGGTCAGATCATGTCAGTCCATGTTTCTATGATATCTTGAGATTAGGTTCGGAAAGATTGACGAGGCTATTCTAACGCGAACGCAAACGTATGGGAATTCGAATAGACCGGACGTCTGACATATAACAACATTTCAATGTCATTAATCCATACGCTTCTAGGAGATAAAAATAAAGGACGGAACTCTCAGGATAGTTTTATATTTCAAATACAAGTTAACGTTGCTTATAAAGTTACATCCGATGATTTTGCGAATGATAATAACCATTCAGATCACAGAAAAAGTTATCATTGATCGATTCATGATTTCAATGAAACTACGATAAGTTGAATTTTCTCATTGTATCTTTAAATCGACATCAATTGATCAGACTCGGTGGGTAGATAGATATTTTTCTATTTGACTGAGTATACTACTCTTATGGATGTGTTAGAAATAATATAACGATAAAAACCTTTATAACTTAATGTCTACTATATTTCTTTTCAATTTTAGACGTTCGAATCTAGAATCAGTGGATAGAACTATCAATCGTCAAAATTCACATATTCCTCCTATCAGTTCTAGATCACCTTTAAGTTCACCAAAACGATCTCAACCATATTCATCTGTATCAAATGGTCGACTGATAAATAAATCAAATGTTTCTAAACCACCAAGATTTGTAAATTATAACAATTCATTGAAATCTATTGGGAAACCAATTAAAAGTAAGCAAATTTTACTCCATAATCAATAATATAATTTAAAGATTTCATCATACATCATCATTTCTATGAAAGTTCCTATTGGATTTTGATAGAAACTTCGTACTAATTTGTTAGTCAGTTAGTTACAACGTAGAACTTCGTACATGAGTACATAAGTTCAGGTTGCCATACCATTGTAGTGTGCCCGATGGCTGCGTGTTCTTATAGCTCCGTTTATAAATCAGAAGATGAACTCCAAGTATCGTATACGTTTATTTGAGGCACACCACATAGCGAAGTGAAGAAGCGAATTGGAGAAGGCTAGTGAGCCAACTCAAAGAGATAGAGTATGACTAAGAATATATAGTCAGATAAGAATAAGACAGACATATGACAAGCGAAATAGGTATGCACACACATGAATAAAAGCGACGAATGATTGACAAGGTCAAATGACAAGCGATACAAATCATGTGAGCTCATGGGAATATTACGAGATTAACATTAAAGCGAAAAGGATGAGTAAGTGCGTAAGCGTAAGCAATGCTCAGTCGTACAAGCTAATACAAAGCAGATAATAAAAAATACCAATGGTACATATGAGTTGTTGCTATGCCAATAGCTTGGTTAAATAAATTAATCGAAAGGGCTTAACCAAGTTAGATGTAAGAGAACTGGAATATATGTGGAGGCACTACACCATATTAGCACAGAGACGCAATTGTCAGTTCAAATCCCATAGTAGTAGTAGAGGTAGTAGAAGTATTAGCAGTAATCGAAGATATTAGGGTTCGAAGATATTATTCAAGAAGTAGAATTAAGTGAAATAAACTTAAAAGAAAAAGATAAAGGTGATGAGGTATTCAGAAGATTAGGATTTGAGAGAGCTCAACGAATGGATGCACTTGCGCCATTGCAAACGATTTTGAGCCTTGTCGTTCAAGGTCTGTAACCATTGGTGACTTTCGTCTCGCCGTCCCCAACCAGGTAGCATACATCTACCAACATGACTCAGTCCACTAGTCAGTGACTTCATGGATTTGTGCCATGTTTTGGTTTGGCCTACCCTAGCTTTCTTCCAATCTACTGCTATACTGCAAAACATAGCTCGTCGAGGCAGTCGGTGATTAGGCATTCGTAACACGTGTCCTAACCACCTCAACTGATGAAGTTTCAATACTTCATCTATTGATCTGCCATCCCTGCCTAGTACTCGATTCCTAATGGCAGCATTGCTTACTCGGTTGTCCCGGGATATATGATCAATGCTTCTAAGACATCTTTGGTCGAATACTAGTAACCTACGAATATCTTCTACTCTTACCGGCCATGTTTCGGGTCCTTATAGGAGAACGGAGCGAACTGCTGCACAGTACACTCATCCTTTGGTTAGCAAACGGATATCTCGCATGCGTCATAGGTGATGCAAGTTGGCAAAGGCCAATCTAGCTTTCTGTATACGTGCTGAGATTTCATCAGTCACCAGGCAATCAGCGCTGATGAAAGTCCCGAGATAAGTAAAGCCGTCAACGCGCTCAACTGCTTCACAAAAAATATTTCTTGTCATTATTTGATTGTCTTCCAAATTATCAGCGATATCATTGCATATATGTGTTCTGTTTACTTTTCCGACTGGATTTAAATGGACTACAAGATTCAGTTTATTGTTTATGCATACTAAAAATAATTTCTGTCAGAGATAATATTTAGTGGATGGAATTGTTAATAAAGACTAGACTTTTAGATTGAACATGTAACTGATAAAAGTACTTAGTTTTTTTCCATAGAAAAAATATATCTTAACTGGTATGTAGTAGGGAGATAAAACTGTGATTGATCATCGAGTGTGGACAAACAGGCACAGCCTATTGACTATCAGATATGTGTGATTTCATTGCTTTTTATTGACTTCTATTCCGGACTCATTGTATCTGACTGCTTGCGATTATATGCAATAGAATATAGCAGACTACTTACTCTGGTTCTCTCTATTTTGGTCATGAATCGTTGATATAGTTGTCAGTTGATATGCTTCAATGCTATAACGATTTCACCTTACTCGGTAAACGGAGCGAAGACAAATGATGTAGGGACACGATAGGCTATTCTAATCCGAGCATCCCAACTCCAGCTAACTATATCAAGAAGTTTTGATAAGGCGTAGAGAATGTATCCTACAAGCACCCAGAAAATACGAGGTTGAAAAGCACACAAATCAAGTTTATTTATACATGATAATAACGTCCATGGGAGAGCCGCAAAAATAGCATACTAAAATAATCCATCAACCAATGACAGTCAAGGATTTTCCGAACTGGAAATGTAATCTGCAGGTCTACTAAGCAACTTATGCCTGAAAACATAAAACATCCAAAATTAGTACCTTTTCCAAGTGAGCTCTGGGAATCTAACGTCCGCAGCACCGATTTTTCACATTGGGACTCGGATTCCATGGCTTTTGGTTGAAGTACTCAACATGTTATCCATAAAGTCATTGGTTTGTGCAAAAGATATGAATTTTATTATTTGCTCAAACACCAGAATAAGCATCAACACTGTGATTTTGGTGCATCAAGTTGACAAGTTACAAATATTTCACTGTTAGATTTCACTGTTAACTACTATCCATCTTATATATTTGCAATTTAATGTCACCATAGAAAGGATTCACTAAGGATGCATATATGTCAAAGCATAATGACCAAGATTCTAATCAGGAATATATCAACAATGGAAAGATTCGAACACTTACAAATAAATGACAAAATAATACAAAGTCAAAATTTTGTCATTTTGCTATAATTCGCTCACTTATTACACCCCATCTATTCCTAATACTCATTGTTCTCGTACACCAATTCACTCAAGATGTTCTCGCAAACGGCTGAACAGGAAATAGATTATATTCCAATAACAAGGTTAGATGGAAGACAGACGTACCAAAGGAAAAAGACATTGGTATATTTATAGTTTTCTTACATGAGAAGATTCTAGAATGTTCCCTCAGTATCGACTGGCGCTGATTGGATACGAAAAAGCCAATCAGTGTGCAACAACGCAATCATACTTTAATCCAATCTATGTCCCACTAACATACATAAAGGAAAAAGCAAAATTCTCCGATGCAACACAACATGCACCAACCAAATCACTCTTGATGGATATGCCTTGGAGGACGTTAATATCTTTACATATCTTGGCAGCATTATCGACAATCAAGGTGGATCCGATGCAGATGTGAGGGCACGGATTGGCAAAACAAGGGCTGCATTTCTACAGTTGAAAAATATCTGGAACTCCAAACAACTTTCAACGAAAACCAAAATCAGGATTTTCAATACAAATGTGAAGACAGTTCTACTGTATGGAGCGGAAACTTGGAGAACTACGAAAGGCATCATCCAGAAGACACAAGTTTTTTATTAACAGTTGTCTACGCAAAATACTTCGGATTCGTTGGCCAGACACCATCAGCAACAAGGTACTGGGGGGGAGAACAAACCAGATTCCAGTGGAGGAGGAAATCAGGAAGAAGCGGTGGAAGTGGATAGGACACACACTGCGAAAAGCACCTAACTGCGTCACGAAACAAGCCCTCACATGGAACCCTGAAGGCAAAAGGAAAAGAGGAAGGCCAAAGAATGCATTACGCCGAGAAATAGAGAAAGATATGAGAGGAATGAACAAACATTGGACAGAACTGGAGAGGGAAGCTGAGGACAGAGTTGGTTGGAGAAAACTGGTTGGCGGCTTATGCTCCATTGGGGGTAACAGGCGTGGGTAAGTATGTCCCACTAACACTTTTATTAGTATTACTACTACTATTATTCCTATTTTCAATATATAATTCTTTTTCTTTAAAAATTAATTAATTTTTAGCTAACCACAATCAATCCATAGAAGATGGCAAACAATCGATACAGAATACAACAAACAAGACTTCTTCTTCTTCTTCTTTGTCACTGATGAATTCATCAAAAGAAGTTAATGTTGATGATGGATTGAATAAACGAGGACGTCGAAAATCACGTGCACCTGCTCCACCAATTAAATCGCTGGAACATATTACTAACACAACAATAACAGCTAAGACTTTTAGTATGACTAGTACTACTATCACTTCTACTACTACCACTACTACTACTACTACAACTACTACAACACTGAAAGCTCCATTAGCAGTTTCTGAGTTTGGTATGTTCTACTGTCATAAACTTCGCTGTATTATCCAATTGGAAATAATTAGTTTTTTCTCTTTTCAAATGTAATTTTCTGGTAGTTTGGTAGAAGGATGAAGGTGATTTGAGAAGGAAAACTGGTAGAAAAAACTATACTTGAACAGTTTATCAGTTAATTCAGAAAACAGTTTTTAGTTATAAAATAACTGATCATAAAAAGTAATCGATTTGAACAAATAAATAGTTTTGACACATCAATGGTTTCAAATCACCAATATATCAATGTTAGACCGCCATTAGAAACCTGGAAGCACTGGACGGCCGTTTCTTCCTGGTATGCAATTACCTGTGCTTACTAGTGACTAGCTCCGTGAGGAGTCTCCTCCATGTCCTAGTGGGAAGTCGTGACCAGTGAAGTTCAACCTGTTCGAGTGTAGACAGTAACTAGCGAAGACAGTGTATGAAGTTACGCAAGACCGTGAATTGATCCAGTTAGACATTAACACCGTTAGATACAGGCTCAGTGGTCCAGAGGTTAGGCGTTCGCGCGCAAGACCGGAGGTCTTGGGTTCAAATACTTAGAGGTGCAGGAGTCGTGAATGCGCATTGCTGATGAGTCCCATACCAGGACGAAATGACCATCCAGTGCTTCCAGGTTTATAATGGTAGTCTAACATTGATCGATTCATGATTTCAAATGTGTAACTTAACAATCTTCACAACTCCATAATACATAAATGATTAATGAACATTTTCATATTTATGTGTAGTGAGAGTTATCTGTAAGAGTATAGGTTAGAAATTTGGTTTCGAATTGAGGTATATAATGCTAGAACGGCGGTTTATAACTACAGTAAGAAAAATATGCGGATTACTTTTCTTAAATTAAACTAATTTGTCCATAAAATAATAGTTCTACATACAAACACTTGCTTGATACTGTGAGTCATATAAAGAACACTTAACTATTAATTACCATTTCGGATATAATCTGTATCACGAACTGGCTGTTCTTGTAATTATTATAGCTTACGTAGAATATCTGATTTATTGTATAGGTAGCACACAACAGTTGTGTTCATTAAAAGAAAAAAATCTAGATTTATGTAATTTTTTATTGATTTTCTAATATTATACAAACTTTCCTTTTGAGGATGTTCGATCCCCAGTACTCACTTGATAAAGGTCCTATTTTTGGATTTTATGTTTTCAAGCATGGGCTGATCAGTTGACCTTGAGATTACATTTTCCACGCGGAAAATCCTTGTCTGTTATTGGTTGGTGTGTTATCTTAGTACACTATTTTTGTGGCTCTGCCAAGGACTTTTCTATGATGTATAAATAAACTCGATTTGTGTGCTTGTCGATTTCGTATTTTCTGGGTGCATGTGGAAGACACTTTCTACGTCTTGTCAAGACTTCTTCCTCTACTTAATGGGGCCTTGTGACGCTCGGATTAGAATAGCGTATCGTGTCACTGGATCATTTGTCTTTGCCCTCGTTTACCGACTAAGATGAACTCGTAATAGCATTCAAGCATATCAATTGACGAGTATAATATATCCGTACTTGCACACTAAACCAAAACGCGTTATCTTTAAATCTGATTGCTTCGTCAGTATATTATATTTTTGCTTATCAGAAAACTTACACCAAAAAAAGAGTCGAATTATTAACAAAAGCAATAAAAGTGATCATCAAAAGGAATAAGGAGGGATGGATAGATTAATGTGACGAAATAATAATTCATTTTCTTATCAACTCTCTAATCATTAGAAACAAATTGATAATATTACAATTTTGACAAGTTCTCAGCTAAGAGAATCCTGTTCTTTTGCCACAGAATCATAAAAAAAGGGGTTTATAGTGGCTGTTTTTTTTCCCCAGGAGTTAATGTAACAAATTTTGAGTTTCTTTATTCACTATAGTGAAAGAATTATCAGTCAGGTGGAGAGTATTCTTCTTTGATTTACAAAGTAGATATGTGTAAGGCAAGACTGAAATAGCATAGGTAATTATTTCCAGACAACATGCAAAGTATCACATGTATGTTACTCATTGTAATGTAAGGAATGGAACTACTTCTGAATCACTGATAAAAATCGCTCTAGTTTTCATCGTTTCTTTAAAATTAGAATTTTTTTTATAGATTAGACAAATGATCCAACATTCACTTTTGGTGTATAAGTTTTGTTATTTTCTTCATTATGAATTTCACTCGTAGAAATCAGTCAATTGGTATACGCTTCTTACTTATCCTTAGTTTTATTACTCAAATAGCTGGTTTAAGAACACACAGGAACCGCGTATATAGATTGTTAGTTATTTTCGTAACTAATTGTAGTTATGTCATAACTAACCAATCAAATTGTGGTTTAAGCGCTCATCATGTGATCTGACCTGACGTGTCTGTAAATCTTCTTTGTTGTAAATGACCTACAAATTGATTGACATTATTATCTTATTATATTGATGTGACTCATAACTTTACTCATTTCCATAAGACACGCTATATTGGTCGGTATGTTTGCTCGTCTTACTTGATAATTGTAATTTCCTTATTTATTGTACTAATCTAATTGTTTTTTATGTTAAGAAACAGGTAAAGTTTAAAACCAAGTTGATCTCGTTCTTACTATAGCTTTCCCATAGACTCTGTGCTCTCCAATATTGCGTTTACTGTTCTAGAATTACATCTGTGGGACAAATTAAATCCTACATAGATATCAGACTTGGCTGATTGTACAATATAAGAGAACTATTAACACTGTCTGTATTTGTATTAATGAATATATCTGCATAATCTTTATTGTTTCAAAAATAAAAATAGCTTGAATTATTCAGTTTAAACAATTTTTTAAGTAAATTTATCAGTGTATACTTTTCGTAATATTTTTTTTTTAAAGGCAAAGAGTTTGAGGATGAGGCTGATGAAGAATGTACAAAATCTATTCGTCAAGGTCATGCACGTGCTGTATCGACATGTTTATCGACAACATCTATAAAATCAAATATTTCTTATTCAACAAGTTCTCGACAAATTGTCTCTAATTCATCATTTCACAATAGAATGAATACTATAAACGGAATAAATGCAGAGAAACCAGTTAAACCACCTAGAAGACTTAACAATAATACATCCACTTCCACTGAAACTGTTCATACAAATGAAAAGAATATTGGTAGTGTAAATTATTCTCCAACTTTAAAAACTTATCGTAAACCTCCTTTATCACAGAATAAATTTCCTCATGATATCTCTTTTCAACATAAAGGGATTGTGAAGGATATGATAAATAAGTTTCAACAAGCTTAAATTTTCAATATTTTTTTCTCTGTTTCTCTCGAATAATCTACTTTTTAATGTTGTTACTGTTTATATTTTTAACTACAAGAATGTATCACCTCTTGACAACTGACTGACTGATTGATGAACTCTATACTGACCGGTTTCTATAGATTCTTTTCTATTTAATTATCATTCATGTAAAAAAAATTATGTATATTTTTTTCAACTACTTTATAATAAACTAGTAGCTAAAATTATTCGGTGAAATTAAATTGTACTGCTTGTTTCTTTTGACATACGCATTTTTTTCAAAAAAAAAGAAATAAACCTGTAACATTATTCTAATCTGTTTTTATTAAAAAAAAATTTGTTTTTATGTGAATTAGGATAAAATTATGCTTTTCTTTTTTGAAAGAGAGATCTATCTATTAAGCCTAATGTTCAATGATAATAATAATAATATTGAAGATTTTGATGCTAGTCCATTTTTCTCTTGTTTTCTTCCAATTTCATTTTCTTACTTATTCACTGGTTTTCTTTAAGTCTACACAGATAAATTAATCAATCGATCAATCAGTTTTTAAAAAATTTATTTATTAGGATGTTGTAATTATTCCCTTTTATATTTACACAAATGTTCCTTTTATTTCTCTGTGTGTGTGTGTGCTTAGAATTTTTTGGCTCTCTTCTGCTCTCATGGTTTAGGATTTTACATTATATTCCTCCTGTTCACTGACTTTTAACATTGAATTCATGTATTAAATTAAATTTCTTTATTCATGTGATATATTTTCTTTCTTTGAAAAAACGAAAAACAACCAAATATTTTGTGTTTTTGGATAATAAATATTATTGTATATGAGTGAAATAAAATATATTATATTTATACATCTATACTAAAAAACTGGAATAATGTTCATTATCATGTTATTTGAAAAGAAAATAATAAATTAGGATGTATTCCTTTCATTTTATTGATTGTCATACATTTTATTAATTTATGGAAGATTTCTTATATTTTAGTATTATGGGGTTGGTTGTTGAGTTACTTATTGAAATCATGAATTAATCATTGTTAGACTACCATTAGAAACCTAGAAACACTGGACGGCCGTTTCGTCCTGATACGGGACTCATCAGTGGTGAGCATTCACGATCCTTGCACCTCACAGGAGTCGAACCCAGGACCTTCGGTCTTGCTCGGAAACGCCTAACCTACAACTCAGTAGTCTTGGATGAAATGAGTGTCCAGTGCTTTCAGGTTTCTAATGGTGGTCTAACAAACTAGGAATCGTGTGTGCTCGCTCACAAGTGACTAGCTTCGTGAGGAAATTCTTGGAGTTCTAAAGAGAAGGCGTGACTACTGGCGTTCAACCCTATTTGGTGTAGGCGGTAACTAACGAGGAGTGAAGTTGCACAAAAATCTCTAGATTGGTTAGGTCTAGATATTAACATCGTTCGATGCTGGCCCAGTGGACCAGGGGTTAGGCGTTCGCGAGCATGACCGAAGGTTCTAGGTTCGAGTCCTGCTTTAGAATTGGTACGCAGTGCTGAAGAGTTCCAGATAAGGACCACACAGCTATCAAGTGCTCAAGGTTTCTAATAGTAGTCTAGCAGTGATTGATTCATGATTGTAATTTTAAACAACGATCTACATAACTCTGATTGGAAAAACAATTAAACGTTTTCTTAAATTACAAATCAAATGACTAACTAATACTGAACTATGCCTGAAAATTGTATTTTAGGGAGTAAATTCACGACCTAGATGTCAAAACAGGTTTTCAAACGATTATTCACTTCAAGGTTTATTGATGCATCGCAAGAGAATTACGATAGATATCTATCCATTGAACCCACCACCTTTGATGATTTAAGAGCTCAGTTTGCCTACATTTTTTAAAAATTAATCTTCCAATATCCTTTCGTACATCAAGAATATATTAGGTCACATAATAGGTGGTTAGACTACTATCGCTCTCCTAGGTATGCAATCTAGATCTTTACATTACTCATTGTTCGAACATGATAGTCCATAAATATAATCAGTATCCAGTGGACTATTGCCTATTTTTTGCCGATTGATAATATACTACTTTAAAGATTTTAAGTAGCCAAAAATGCTGTTGTTAATTTATGAGATAGTTTGCATGGTCGGTTGCTAGTATTTTTTATTCTTTGACAAGATATACAAGTGAATGAAAATGTACATTTCTCTATGAACATATTTCACTCTATTTACTTCAAAAACTAAATTTCAGGATTCAATTCTGATAATAAACCATGGAGTTCCACTCATACAACCAATTTCATTCGGAATATCAGAAATGACACCGATTGACGTTATTATACACTATAGAATGAAAAAATCTTTTTTTAGTGTTGAACCGGACCAGTACTGATAGAATGATTTGTCGATAATGTTGTATTCAACCTTTGATCTAATTTCTTTTTCCCCTATATACATAAGTTTAATCAAATATAAACGATTAATTATAGCTCATAAACCTTTGTAGATTAAAAAAGGTCAGTCGTAACAATGTTTTACAATTATGGGTATGATCTAACAAACGATCTTATCAATTTTTCTCATATCCCGTATTTGTCGTTTTTCATCTCTTTCTATCTGATACGCGTATTACGCAATTCTAATAATATAAATATTATTTTGAGTTTATTTATCCAAGTTTGACCTAATTCCTATGTTGAACTTGTAGTGTCATGTACTATGTCACGCCTACATGGAATATTTTAACTTTTGGACAAACCAATTAATTTATTTTACCTAAGTTACTATCCACATATATTTTGACCTAGTCAATTATTCGCTTATATCCTTGACTGTTTTTAATATGAGCGTATGAATGTGCATCGCTTACCCTCTTCACCACACATTTTTGTATTATTTTCCCTGGCTGTAAATAGTGATCCACACTTTATTAAATGGAGTTAGTATGGTTACCTTCTTCGCCTGGCGTTACTTTCTAGCTTTTCATCTTAATACACGTCGGAATAATTGAGTGAATGGAATAAAATTATCCAACTTAATCTGTACTTTGCTTCTAATTACTGTCGTTGCTCAAACGGAGTTTGTGTATGTGTTAAGTATAGAATTAAACATCAAAATATATATTAATGCGTATCGGACATATTCCGAAATGAGGCCTTTAAGAAGTTTGATTTATATTGCCGCTACATCGATGACATATCCATTATTGTTGATCAGAACACCAGTAAAGAAAAACTGAAACATTTCAATAGTGGACACCCGGCAATCTCTTTCACTGGTGAAGGAGAGTGTGACAAAAAGCTGAATTTCATTGACATCACACTAAGCAGGCGAAGTGATAGTTCGTTAAGTAAAAGCGTGAACAGAAAAAAGTCCCTCTCTTTGCCAGTATACTCACTTTTATAGTTTTACACCTATTCGTCACAAGATAAATTTAGTCAGATGTCTTACTAGCAGAGCAAAAATGATCTATTCAGTGGATACTTTAAGTCAAGAGCTGGAATTTATCAACAACTAATTAAGCGAGATCAGCTACCCCAGTGGGTTCATAACGAAGTATATGTAGATATATCTGAACCACTTCGATTGATCTATCGCATACATTCATCATTTCCAACGGCTTTAGATCCCGTCTTCTACACATAGCAGAAGCCGTAGGAATTGGTACATTCAACTCCAGTTTATGTGTTAAGAAGAAATTCGTGACATCCGTATCCTTTCCGTGGCCAGATACAACTTATATTTTTCATTTTACTTTTGTTATTATTAACATTATTTTGTTCGTAATTTTCTGCCCTCTTTCCGTTCATATTCTTCACTATTTAATTATTTACACATTTCTTATTGCGTAATGATTTTAATGTTCTGTAAAGTATTATTTTAAGTCTACTTATCCACATTTGACCTACTATTTCCAATGTTGAACTATTGACAGTACTTTTGTTATCGTATTTTATTTTTCTTACTTGCTATCAGTACTCACCTGTCTTCCTAATATCAGCTAGTACTTTTCCACCTATTATGTGTAGTGACGTAATCTATCTCATTTCATTGTGATTATTGACTCATGAATTGCCTTGATTAGTTTAACATTTTCATATAAATATTCATGTATATTAGAGTAAAGCCTGATGACGATCTAAGTGAAAACAATATTGTTCACCTATATGTGTTGTTCTAGTATTCCTTACCCATTTCTAAGCTGAACACTATTATGATGCAGGGCAATATTGGCGCATAACGTACTTTTCTTCGTTGGGGACATTAGATCCCCAGAACTCATTTGATAAAGGCCTTAATTTCCGGCTTTATTCATGGGCTGATCAGTTGACCTTGAGATTACATTTCCTTCAGGAAAATCCTTGGTTGTGATTGGTTGGTGTGTTATATTTGTGACTATCTCAAGGACGTTTCTATGATGTATAAATAAACACGATTTATGTGCTTGATTGAATTGTGCTTGTAGAATACACTTTCTACACCATATCAAGACTTTTTCGTCAGTTCCTTTGGGGCAACAGATCAGAATAGCCTATCGTGTCACTGGTTCATTGTCTCGTTCTCGTTTGACAACAAAGGTGAACTCGTAATGGCGTTCAAGCATAACACAATGCAATAATAATGATCTTATTTTGCTAAAAGAAAAAGCAAATTTGTTTTACACAGTTAGTTTTTTTTTTATTTATTCAAATTCATAGAAAGGAATCAAAATAAATGAGATTATTATTATTATTATTATTATTATTATTATTATTATTTAACATAATAATAATAAAAATAATTTCATTTTGTTACTTACTCTCTATGTTTTTAGATTTTATGCAATCGGTTACAAAACCACTTCATTGAATGATGAAACAAACAATGAACAGGAAACGAGTAAATCTAATTTTGAAAAAAGGATATTGTTCAAAAAAAAAAATAATAAAACACCATTTTAGAAGATACTTATCAAAAAAAAAATTTGTTTTGTTGACATTTAATATTGTATTCGTTTAGACATTAAATAAAGTGTATTTCGTGTTTATAAAGTCAAAAATATGCCATTCATGTTACTGTCACTACCACTACTTCGACCACTGTTACGATTCACCCAATCAGAATGCAGCACGGAAAGACAGTCTCATAACGGTAAAACAAACTCACACAATTGAAATCATCAACCAGTCGTTGTTAGACCACCACTAGAAACCTGGAAGCACTGGACGGCTGTTTCGTCCTGGTATGGGACTCATCAGCAATGAGCATCCACGACTCCTGCTCCTCGCAGAGTTAGACATTAACACCGTTAGATACCGACTCAGTGGTCTAATGGTTAGGCGTTCGCGCACACTACCGAATGTCCCAGGTTCAAATCCTGCTAAGTGCAGTA